TTGAACTGTACGGAACACCCATGTTCTATCAATTGACTTACTGAGAGAAGATTGCTCGCCAACTCTGGTATGTATAAAACATTAGTAACTTGTACTTTCTGTGTTTCCCCATTTTTCTTTGTTACAGTCAGATCAACTTTTCCACAACTTTTATCATTTGCAATACGGATGCTTGTGATTGGGGGTGGTGATTCATCATATAACCAGTCCTTCTTCATGGTCATGTGCATGGAGGCACCTGAATCTACAAACCAGCTATCATTGCTTATGTTGCTGAACGATGCTGAGAAAACTGCAACATATCCAGTTTCTTTTCCTGAATCTTTAGTGTTTCCCGAGTGATCCTTCTTTTTTGTTCTGCAATGTTTACTGATGTGACCATATTTGTTGCATTTGAAACAACGTGGACCCTTGTTGATATTCTGTGCTCTCTGTTTTGATCTGTCAATTTTATTTGCATACAGTGCCACCGAGTCAGAAGATTTCACCTCTTGTAAAAGTTTTGTTTTCACTGAATCAGCCGTGATTGGTACTCCAGAGCTTTCCAAAGCCATTATCATGGGTTTGTAGCTTTCAGGCAAACCAGCCAAGAGTAATATACCAAGCCACTCATCATTCACTTCAAAAGAAATATTCCTCAACTTATGTGCTGTGGTCATAATTTTATTCACGTAGTCTTCTATATTATGACAACTTTCTAATGTGGTTGTGATTAAATCTTTTAATAATCCAACACGGCGAGTTAAACCTCTGTCATCGAAAGCGTTTTGCAAGTTTGTCCAAACTTCTTTAGCAGTCTTCGCGTCTTGAATATGAATGTACTTTATTGTGTCGACTAATAATATTATTTTTGACTTAGCTTCTAGGTCAAGTTTCGGATCTACGGCTTCATTTTCAATACAACACCATAAATCCTCGTGCTGACGATACGTCTGGACGGAGAATTTCCACGTGTTATAATTGTCACGCCCAATTAATTTTTCAATTAGCATCATTGTATTACTGTTCGTAGACATTGCTTAGTACATATTCTTATTATAACACTGTTTCGCCAACAATCTTGCTCTTTTCCGAAACCACGTTTCCAGGTGAGGTTATGTCGTATCAGTTTTATGATCGGCGACTATTTCTTTTGTTCAATACTACTTTTACAATCAGATTACGGGCTGGGCCCATAACCTGTTGTAATAAAACAAAATATCGAAACCTTCTATGGTGTTTTATTAAATAAATTAATCTTACAGTTTTGCAGCGCAGTGCCTTGCAGACCAGAGACCAAAGAGAGAGGGCGAGAGCATAGATTACATAGACCGAATTTACATTTTTCTTTTTTTTATAGAACATACAATTTATAGCATTAGATAGGTACTTCAACAGGATTACTTCAAACTTAGGACACTGCAATGATTCTAGATTGATGTAGTTATTGATTCCCAATTTATTTAACCTCAATTTTTCGAATTGTCCACCTTTGTAAGCTATCATCATATTTTCTCTCTGAGCTTCAGCAGCAATTTTTTTAAGAAATTTATCGAGGTTAAGTGGATCTTCATCATTCCTTTCATCGCAAAAACGCATTCCATGTATATAATGGAAACATACGGCTGCTGTGTTTTTTTTTCTTCATGAGATAATTTCTTGAAATCACCTATTTTGAAAAACTTTGAATTCACTGCACCTGTAGCAACGTTGATGTATCCTAATTCTTTACATACAAATTTCTTATCAACCATGAACCCTTCCATATCGATTATATATAAAATTTTGTTTTCCATTTTTAATTCTGTTTTATTCACTTTAGTCTTGGCACTAGTTAAGTATATTTGTTTGTTGAAGTTCCTTCAAACTTTAATTTCTTTCCTTTTAAATGAAATTACACACATGAAAAGATTTAAATGTTATTATCAAATAAAATTTCTTTGAAAGTGACGTCACTTGAAAATCACTGTAAACATTAAATGGACCTTCAAGGGTAGTTTCATTTTTCTTCATGTATACAAGTGGTGACAGTGTCTTGATATTTTACTATTTTGATGAAACCCTATAGAGCCTTCAATGTTAACATCAAATAAAAATCTTTCTTGAATGTGACGTCACTTAAAAGCAACTATAAAAATAAGGTGATGTTCAAGAACAGTTTTATTTTTTATACATATACAAGTGGTTGCACTGTTTTGGAATTTCATTTTATATTGAACTCGAGGATTTTATTAATTGATAAAATAATTAGATAATAAATAAGTCAAGAATAAATAAGTAAATTAAACAAGATAAATAAAAAGATTTTCTAGAAAATTACATCATTTGAAAGTAACAATAAAGAAGGTGGAGTTTTTTCAAGAGCAATTTTTTATCTTACATATAAATAAATATGTGTTAGGCTGTATTCAGTGCGATGCGGACCGTCCGCACGCGGATGAGGTTATGCGTCCGTCGCGGATGAATCCGTCGTTCAGTGAGTTGCGGATCGTGATCGAGAGTGGTACAGTTTCATGGATAAAACTTTGAATTTGGTGATTGCGGCCTATTTATTTTAATAAATAGGCCGCAATCACCATCGAGATCGTGATCGAGAGTGGTACAGTTTCATGGATAAAACTGTACCACTCTCGATCACGATCCGCAACAGAAGACGACGCTATGGTAGAAGATTTAATGTGCATCCACTGGTTGAGAAAAGACTTCTTAAAGGAGAATTTGTATCCTTGTTTTCGGACTTGCAGAATGACGAAATGAAATTCTACTTATATTTCAAGATGTCCGTTAGGACTTTTGAGGAGTTGCATGCGAAACTGGAGCCCTCTTTAATGCGTTGCGATATATACAAGAAACCCATATGTTCGCGGGAGAGATTGGCTGTAACAATTAGGTAAGTAGGTACTTAAATAAATGAAAAATTGTTTTTAATTACAAAAATGGTTTATTCAATTTAAATTGTAATTATGTAATTAATTACAATTCAGTGTAATCACCGTGTTGCCAGCTTTCTAAAGACTCCTCCACATCACTCCCTGATAAGTGTGGTAAATCGTTGGTAGCGCTAGCGGTTGTTGCAGATGTGCTGGGCGAGTTCATAGCTGGACCTCTGATTTCCATAGCTAGCTCCAGTATTCTAGTTCGGAATAACAATTTTTTATAATTATCGAAATCGTTTGTAATGGGTGCTAGTGAATTGAAAAAACTGCAGTCATCGTCTTTAAGAGCCGTGGACGACGCAGAGTTTGTGGTGAGAGTGTTGTTTTTTTCTATTATTTTCAATAATTGTGACTCAAATTCTGTCATACATCTCTTTTTTTTTCTCTGCCACGGTTTTGGAGAAGTCCTCACAGGTGTCTGAAATGTTTCTTCTGTTGACGGCAAGTCCGGGGTCGTGGCAATAGGTAAAATACTTTGCGAGTTTTGCGATGACGTTGAAGCGACATTTTGGGAGTTGTGTGACGATGTTGAAGCCATACTTTCATGTGTGGGTTCAAAGTCCTTTGTGTCTTCCAAAAACGTCATTATATCGTAAAAAATATACTTCTTTTTGACACCCCCTGCAGGACCGGACTTTGATGTCTTAAGAATTGCTCTACACTTCATGTATGCATCACGGGCGGTCTTCCATCTTAACTGAACAGCTTTTTCTGTAAATAAAATAATATAAATAAATAATAAAACAACACATGCTTATTAACTTATTTAATACACACTTTTTTTGTTGTTGCAGGTACCTGACTACTGGGTCAAGAATGTCTGATTTGCATTTAAGTTATCGATTGGGGCAATCGACAATTAAATACATCATTGAAGAAGTATGTTCATTAATATGGGAAATTTTGAAAAACGAATGTCTGCCTGAACCTGATCCAAATTTTTGGGATAAAATAGCGCTTGGCTTTGAAAGGGATGCCAATTTTCCCAATTGCGTAGGTGCCCTTGACGGAAAGCATACCAGAATCAGGTGCCCAAACGGAAGTGGATCCGTATTTTTCAACCATAAGCAATTTTATTCTATTATTTTACTTGCAATGTGTGATGCCAATTACTGTTTCACCTATGTAAATGTAGGGGCTTGTGGCAGCGAAGCTGACGCTAATGTGTTCAAGAAAAGTTCGTTATTTCATAGACTTGAACGAGATGATCTAAATTTGCCACCTCCAAAATTATTACCAGGTACATCTATCAACCCACAGCCACATGTCATTGTAGCAGACGCAGCCTTTGGCATTTCCAATACTATACTTCGCCCATACGTGCGTACAAATTTGACACACAAAAAAAAAATATTTAATTACAGGTTAAGTCGTGCACGCCGATACATAGAATCGAGTTTTGGTATATTGACAAACAAATTTGCTATATTCCAAAGATCTATCAATGTATCAACATCATTTGCACAAATTTAATCAAAGCGTGCTGCATTTTACACAATTTCATTAGAGTACGCGATGGTTATACGGAAGAAGACGCTATGATTGTAGCTGGATTTACAGATTACAATGCTCGCATTAGTACAAGATCGGGCAATACAATAAGAGATAATTTCGCAAATTACTTTGTTTCGAATGAAGGATCTGTACCTTGGCAAAATAGTTACATTTATTAGATAACACAGATGTTTCAATAAACATTACTTACCGATTTGTTTTTTTTCTTCACCTGAACTATCTCCGAAATTCGGACAAACAGCTTGGCAAACATCTATCCATGCCTTTAATTTTGCGTCTTTATTTTTATATAAATTGTCGCGGAGATTCCAAAGGCATGGTTTAAGACGTACTTCTTGTATAACCCTCTCGGTTTGCACATTTGACGCAGCCATGGTGACAAAGACTGTACTTTACATCCGCTCCGCGCGACTGTCCGTTGGGCACTGAACAAATACATTGGGACCAAGTACCGTCAGCCCGCGGGCATCCGCGGCGCGGAGGAGCAGCGCGGAGCGATTTCGACGCGCTGTAAAGGTTTCATACATTTTACCGTCCGTCGCGGACGTCCGCGTAGGTCATCCGCGTCGCACTGAATAGGCCCTTAGATTTTCTTGGTATTGTTACTTTAGAAGTTGTACAGTGAGCATTGAAAAATTTTTTCGTCTTTTAATATTTCAATAATTAGAAGACAGATAAGTCAATAATAAAATAGTGAGTGAGTGAAAAAATGAGTGATCATTACAAGGATTTAATTAAAATGATGGAAGAAGCTTATGTGCTTCTTTCATCGTTGAGTGGACCATGTAAAGATGAAGCTGTAAACAAATGGTTGGAGATAGGAGATAGAAACATTGCATCATTAAATCGACAATTGCGAGGTAGTTTATCAGTTGGTGAAAAGATGAAAATTCAATCCACAATTCTCATTCTTAAAACACTTTGTGAAAAAATTATCTACGAGCAAAATTATGTGCAAGGGGGTGATCTCCAACATGATGTAGAAAGACCAAGTCCATCAGTGGTTTGGAGAGAGGAAGAAAATGTATTTGAACTTCGGATTTCTACTGGATCAATTGTTAATTTAAAACACGTGAATTTAAGGGATTTTCTTAATGATGCAAAAGTAATTCTTTGTGAAAAATTTAAACAAATAATTGACAATAATGGCAGCATAAAAGTGAACTTTTCTTTGGCGTGCAAGTTCAATAATGTTAAAGATGGTGAATTTATTGAAGAAATAAAATATTTCACAACGCCAAATGAACTATTTATGCCGTCAAGTGACATAGAAGGAATTATAGTGAAGAAAGTCATTGATGTTTTATTAGCAAAAGTTGAGGACTTTGAAGAAAGAGATTCAGGATGGTCCATGGTGGAAATTGTGCATCTCCAAGTGAACATCAATAGGTATGATCCATTAGCAGCAGGAGCATCAACTTTCATCCCCCTACCAAAGTTCATTCAAGATAGAAAGCAGTACTAAACATCAAAAATAATGACCAATGCTGCTTTCTTTGGGCAGTTACTGCAGCTCTGCATTACTCAACAGTTCTCCAGTATGAAGGTATCAATTGTCCAACAACTCTACATGATATACCAAAATTTGAATTAATTAATAAAGAAAAAAAATTTTAAATTAATGTTTATGGGTTAAATAGTAATGATAAAATAGCTCCATTATACTTGAGTAAATTTCGTCTTGAAAAATGTATACATTTGTTAATGGTGGAAAATAATGTTCAGGTTGATCATGAAAATAATTTAAAATATTCCAGAAAGTCTTTTTAGTAATCCTGATTTACCAGCAAATGTCAAACCTGCAATAGTTATTTTTGACGCCACTTATGATTTTTTCCAAAGTAGTTCTAACTATTTATACCAAAAGGAGACATACAGTCTACAAAAATTGGATAACTTTCATCAAAAAATCGATCGATGGTGTTGCGATGGTCATATTATGGAATGTCTCGGCCCTTATAAGGCCACTACCAATAATGCTAGAATCACTAGTCTAAACTTAAACAATAAGGAGTCTGGTTTTGCATCGTTTTTCAGAAGAGGTGATATTTTTATAGAGCATTACGAGACGTGATAAATGAACTCCGGGAGCATGGTTTTATCACTCACATGCCAGAGTCTCTACTTGAAATGAACACCAATTAACAACCAACCAGGCAAATCGGTCTCGTTTTGTAACCATGTGTCGCTCGCTGAGTTGTACAGGTAGTCAATGTGGTCGGGTGAAAAGAGATTACAGACTATTTTGTTATGATTTAATAACAAAGCCGCTATGCACTTTAAAGATTATTTCAGTATTGCTTGTGCTTCATTAAACAAGTTTCATATTACCATAGATGACCCACCGGTGGCTTTAGAATATGTTGCAATCGCTAAAAATAGGCATTCACTCGAAAATCATTTGGCATTATTGTATGTAGAAGGGAATATGTCAATAGAAGAAGGGTGAATTTTCAAGCAATTAATAGCGAACATCCTCATTTCGCTACAATTTCACGACTTACCATTTTGACCTTAAACGCCTTGCTCTAGCTAGGTACTTACCAGCTAAAACAGGCTAGGTCTTACTTTGGGGAACATGTTTGTCAATCTGGAACATATTTGGTTGAGGTCAATAATGAAATCGAAGATGATATTCCCCTTGTTTTAAATCTAAATAATTAAATAAAACTAGTTTTTCACAGGTTAATGCACGAAACTTTATTTATTTATTGACGTTTCGCAGCCTTTACAGGCTGCTTCGTCGGAATGGATTTTTTATTTAATTTAGGAGATAGAAAGCCTCTCTTGCGTTTGTTTCGCCGGTTCTTCTCAGAAAGGTCTCCCAATTTTGGAACCGGTGGTAGTTTACGGTAGTTACGGTCAAATAAATAAACTCAGAATTACAAAAAACAATTTTAAATAAAGTACTTTATTAACTAAATTAAGTAATAAATTCATACATAGACAGTAAAACTTTAAAAATCGAACAATGAAATAACCGAACTCTCAATAAAAGTCTTTCGAAGGTAGCTCGACAAATTCCCAAAACTCCATGCTCGGTTATTACAGAATTCAACTGCGATCTCGGAAATGGTACAAAAGAATCTTTTTCCACATGATTGATATGACATTAGTTAATGCCTGGTTATTATGGCGCCAAATTCATGGACTTGAATACCTGCCGCTGTTTGATTTCAAACTTGCAGTGTCCGAACATATGCGCAAAGCTGGAAAGGTTATGGTGGCCAATAAACGTGGTCGTCCAGCTGGCCTCAGGAGTCTCAACTTGCCTGATACTTCAAGCCAAGGCAGCAATGAGTCTAGCTTGCCTGAGTCACCATTGCCTTCCAAAAAGGCACGAAAAGCTCCAGCTAGACACCAAGAGTTACCTTTGGATTCTGTTCGAACAGATAACGTGGCCCATTACCCAGAATGGATGAAGTCAAATCGACAAATATGTCAAAACTGCTTAAAATACCGTTTCTTCGCGAAATGTGGAAAATGTCAGGTTTCTTTATGTTTCAATGACAAACGCAACTGTTTTCTGGAATTTCATAAAGTTTAATTGTTAATGCATACGAAGCCATATATGGCTTCGTTGGCTATTTTCTTAATTATTATTACTTATTTTTTTTCTCATCTCAATTTATTATATAAGGTTAAATAAAAGACATTTTCAATAAAAAAAAAATTTTTTTTTGCCTCCTTCATAATTCATGCAATAATCCTTTTTAGGGAAGCAAAATCACTAACTTAATCGTAACGATACAAAATCATTAACTAAACAATTTCTAGCTTTTGTCATCCAACGTTCTAATGTAGCTCTAAGTTTATTGAAAAGAGTGGCCAATCTTTCGTTTCTATCAGCAGTTCTAAATTTAACTAAATAAATACACAAGGATATAGAAGCGTTTGGCACTTGATCTGCTAGATTTGATATACAGTTGAGCAAATTATAAAACTGTTCAAAGTTCATACCAAGCCTATAATGACATTGATGAGGAGGCATAATTGAAACATTCTTCTTCTTCGGCGCTACACTCTTGACAGAGTGGTCGTGGTCGTCACATCAGGGTTCGTAGCGCTTCACAATACGCCGCCATTCGTCCCGCACTGCGGCCTTTCTAGTGCACTCGTGAAGTGGACCGAAACTCTAATTGAAACATTAGAATAATCTAATTTGTAATTGGCTGCTCGCTACACTATAATCATTATATTATCAAACTGTGTGCCAGTAAAACCTCTCAATTGAGTCTCATATGAGTCTAGCATGCAAATACAAATTGAATTTAAAGTTATTATATTATAAAAATAATATGTCAATAAGATAAAATACAATAACCATTTCAAAATATGTCAAATAATCTTATATAAGATCTTATATAAGATTATTTGAGCATTACAAATGGAATCAAATAGAAACAATTAATTGAAAAAATGACATAGTTGTTTGTTTAGGAAAAAACCTTTATCATTAAAATTGTGTCATTTAGCCACTATACAGTGTGTGTTTATAAATATTTCTATCAAGCATTTTTATATTCTTACGAATCTCTTATCTATTAGACAAGTCTGTCCGTCCGTCTGTCTGTGGTGCTGTTTGAGCGGCCAAACCGTAAGAGATAGATAAAGAGAATATTTAAGTTATAAGTTAAGAATAGTCTGATAAGACTACAAACCGGATTTGAGTAACGTAGCACTTCCGGTTTTCGAGAAATCACGAATTTCAAACGAAACCACACAAAATCTCCGAAGTTCTCAATAAATTAAATACATTTTTTTTTTAATCAGGTTTTGGTGAACATTTGGTTCACTGGTTTGCTAGTTTTATTATAATTTCTGACAACTTTTTGCATACTTATCAGACCTTCGAGTTTCATTAATTTTCAACCTGTGAGAATCCCTTAGTTTAAATTTATTAACCTTTTTAAATCATTCCTTATTTTTGTGAACAAAAACAGCAATTTTGAAAATGTTAAGTGAAGGTAGTGGCAATAATCCAAGAACAGCGGTCTACATGACTCTTCTGGAAATACTAAATAGCCCTAATACATTTTATTTGAGCAACAAATATTTCTGTTTGTATGTACTGCTACTGTTACTCCATAACATGATGCCGTAACGCAAAATAGACTCTACGTAGGCATGATATGACAATAATGTCATACCAACCAACTAAGGTAAGTCAGGATACGAGCCAGTTCAGTGACGCACATTTTTAATATTTTAGTGGATATGCCGTCGTAGCCTTCTTATTTAGTGTTATTTAGACTTAATTTCCTTTTTTGTGTCTTCGTTTGTCATAGATTGTAAAAACATCGAATTAGCTTGTATTGTCAATGTGTTGTCGTGTTCATTGGACTAGGGTTGGTCATGCTAATAAAGTAGTCATAGATGGCGTTAGCTATATCACTAGGATTTGTTATCGTTTCATGATTTACGTCAGAACTTTACCGAGGTCTGGAAAAACTTACACTTATCTCGATTAACCCGAAGTTTGTAACTTTTAAGGGTATTAAAAACTTCCTCTAGTCTTTTATGATGTTCCTGCTTATTAGGGGCAAAAATTATAACGTCATCTAAATAAACCAGGCATATCCCTGCTTCTAAATGTGGCCGTAGTACGTTATTCATTACGCGTTGGAACGTAGCAGGCGCTGTTTTAAGTCCGAAAGGCATCCGAGTATATTCGTAGTGTCCGTCCGGTGTTGAGAACGCGGTTAAGGGTATCGAGTCTTCATCTATGTTTATTTGATGATAACCAGTAGTTAAATCTAAGGTCGAGACGAATCTAGACCCGTTCAGTTTTGAAAAGATGTCTTCAATGTTGGGAAGAGGAAATTTATCGTCCCGAGATTGTTCGTTTAGCTTTCGGTAATCATTTACTAAGCGCCATTTCTTAGGGTTTCCCGGTTCTACGTATTTTTCTACTAAGTGTACGGGGCTTGACCAAGGAGAATCTGATGGTCTGATAATTTAATTTTTCAACATTTCTTTTATTTGTCTTGTAACTTCCTGTCTTGGAATTTCAGGTAACCTATAAGGGCGTTGATAAATAGGTTCGTCTTTTAACATTATAATGCGTTGTCTTATTTTATCAAATGATGTTTCCGCGGCAGTTTCTGTAAATATTTCTTGATTTACTTGTTTAAAGAATTTTGACCGGGTGCGCGGATTTATGAAAGATCTAGCGCTGCCGGTATCTATTAACATTTTTTCATTGTAATTAGGTATTATTATGTAAGGTAATTGAAATCCTACTTTGTGGTGAAATTTTATATGGGTTTCGTTTGTTCGGTATCCGATTGAAAATTTTCCTCATTTTCTTTGGGTATTATTTCAGGATTTTCTGTGTTATAAATTTGTTGATACATGTCTTCACAAAATTGCATGAAGTGATTGTATTCAGTTTCTTCATCGCTCGTTTCGATATTAAAAACGGTTTCTCGCGGTCTTTTTAGTGGAGGTCTATCCGAGACTGTACGCATTGTTACGTCCTCGTTTTTCTGAGGTGGGAAGTGTTGTGGATAATTATTATTGGGTCTGTGCTGTTGATATTGGTTTTGCGGTATAAAGTTCTGTTTTTGTCT